GAAGATACAACAGTAGGGAGAAGACGTATAGATTCTGAGACTGTATTTTGCCCCTTCCCACAAAATAAGGGACAAAAATAAGAAACTTTTCACAGACAAAAGAATGTAAAGTTCTATGTTGGGGGGGAAAGATCTGTAATATTTGCTTTATAAAAAAAAAAAAAAGCAAAATAATTAAGAAATCAACTCCCAGATCCCCCTCCCAACTCCCCCTACGCAATACAGAGTATATTTTATAATAGGACATTTATCTAAGGTAATCGCCCTCTGAGCCCATATTACTGCCCCCTAATCTGCAAGTTACATTCCTTGCCTAATTTTCTTCATGGGACTCGCTATCTGAAATTGTGAAAATGTGTGAACTGCCTGTTGCCTTCTACTCATGTATTGTCTCCCTCCCCTCAGTACCACTGAGGGCAGGACCATCTGTTTTCCTTTACTGCCTCAAAAAGCGTCAAGAACATACTATAGCGGGTTCTCACTAAATATATGCTAAATAAATCAATGAGTCAATGAATGGCTGTGAAATCCCACGTTTTGTAGAAAACCCTCGGAAAGAGGATTTCTGCCTGGTACTTGACAGAATTTCTACCCCTATATCCACCTGTACATGATGCCCCCTGTAGAAGCTATTTCCTTGGAGTAAGTTAGGCACACTACAGGGCAGGCTGAAGTGCAACCTACAGTTTCACCAGGGCTTACTGCAGCAATGCTCAGGAAGCCGGAAATGAGGCAATGAGGTTTTCAGATGCCTAATGGAGAACTACAATGGCTAGAAATGCTAGGTGTCATTAGCAATTATTTATAGATAAGGAAATTGAGATCATAGATGTTAGGTAACTTGCTCTGAGTCTCTTAAGCACCATTCCAGTTCTTCCCACCAAGCTTTTCCCCAAAAATGGAAAAAGCGTGCACAGAAACCTATTTGTTCAACTTGACTCCCCTCTCGTACTTAGAGGAGCTGGGAGGAGTTCTCCTGGGCAGCAGTCTATTGTGGGCTGAATGGTTATTCTCTCCCACACTAGTGTGGAAGTTGAGTGCTACACTTGAATAGGAAAGTTGAGCATTGAGATGCAGTAAAGACTGAGCTGGAGGAGTTAGATATGGTAATCCTGAAGATCAAATAAGATCTTCAATTGCTTACAATCGCTTTGGATGTTTAACTCACAGAGAAGAGGAGACTCATACTCAGTGCGGTAATCCTGGTGGGCTGGCCCTGGACCCTAGCATGAGGACAATTCCTGCAAATGCAAAGGACTTATAGCAAATGACTCTTTTTAAATCATTCATTTCAGCCCTAAAGAGAAATTGGAAAAATACTGATTTTTTTTTTTTAAAGTTAAGCAAAAGTCATAGCAAAAATCTTTAGGAAAAGATGTTCACGTTAATGATAGTGCTGGGGCTTATAATTTAGAGGAAAAGATTTGGTTAGACACAATGTCCTGTTTATCTGACTGTCTTTTCAGTATGGTTTATGTATTGATTCAGAAATATAAAAAGAATAAAGATTCTATAACAAGTAAAATCGGCAAAAATAAGAAACAAAGCAATACTTTTCCTAAATTGCCTTCAGTTATAAAAGTAAATAAGATATGGTCCAGTTTCAGTGGCACAGATGGTAGGGTGCCACTGTACAATACTGAAGCCACATGGGAGGCCCAGGTTTGGATGCCATTCTGACCATTATGTCAGGTCTGACAGCACACCTGTGATCCTAGCAGAGGCTGGGGTGGAAGGATCATACTGTGGTGTGACCCATCAGGCCTCTCTCTATATATATATATCCAATAAAAAGTTAAATAAACTTTAAATATTAGGTTGTCTGGAAAGTTATGACATATTATTCTGTGCAAAAAATGTGTCATGATTTTCCTGACAGACAGCCCAATAAATAAAATAAAAATAAACAAAAATATAAAGTACATTAGCATTTGTCCAGAGATATTAGATCACAATTAATAAACTGAATAGACTTTTACATACAGTATGCATGGTATGGTCTTTTTTTAACTAATAAAAACCCTGAACTTAGGGATTCTACCATTATTTCTTGTACTCCAGCTTTGATAATTCTGTCTTCTGGGACCACCAATGCACCAACCCTTCCCTTCTTCCTCTGCTCTCCTTTCCCATCTCCAGAGCCAATCTTTGTTATCATTTCCTTACAAATACCTTTAGTCCTCCATATTCTTCCACACTTTCACTGTAACACTCCAATCTGGTTAAATCCTAACTTGCTGTGTCATTTATACCTAAACTAGACTAAGTCCAGTTTAATTAGTATACACTAACTACAAAGGGGTTCTTAGCTGGGCAAACCCTTTATGCTTGCCTAATCAACTCACTCTCCCACTTTTCTGGACAATTGTCTCATCCATTCTCTCTCCTAAAGCCTCTAACACTTTAGCCTTTTCTAGAATGTTACATATTAAGTAGCTAGAATCATAAAGTATATAGCCTTTTAAGATTAACTTTCTCGGGAACCAGCAGTTAGCGTAATGGCTATGTCGCTGGACTCCCACGTAGTTGACCACGGTTCGCTTAGAACTCATGCCGGGCCGTGTGCGTGCGTGCCCAAGATCCCAGGAGGAGAATGGAGGAGAAGGGATTGCGGCATGACCATCCTCCCTGGGGGGTGATTTCTCACTTTCTGTCTCTATGTCTCTCTCTGTCTGTCTGGCGAGCGCACGCACCCTATAGCGAAAATCTCTCAAAAAAAAAAAGATTAACTTTCTCTTTATAATATGTACCGAAGGTTCCTCCATGTTTTTTCATGGCTATATAGCTCATATCTTTCCAGTGCTAATCTACCATTCTCTGGATACATCATGGTTTAATTATCCATTCACCTGGTGATAAACATCTTGTTTACAGGTTTTGGCAATTATTATAAAACTTTTTAAACATTCATGAGCAGATTTTTGTGTGTAACTGTAAGCTTTCAACTTCTCTGGGTAAATATCAAGGCTATGATTGTTAGATCACACAAATGGAGTAATTTTAGATTTGTAGGAAATGACCAAACTGCTTTCAAAGTGGTGGTACCATTTTGCATTCCCACTAGTAATGAGTGACTCTTCTTGTTATTCCATATCTTCTCCATCATCTGCTGTTGTCAGTGTGCTGAATTTTGGCCATTCTAATAGGTGTGTGTTGGTATGTTTTTCTTTGTATTGTGTGGACAACAATCTTTTTGGATATATCTTTTATATGTATTTTCTTACCATCTATGGGTTGTCTTCTCATTCTCTTGACAATGTCTTTAACAGAGTAGAAAATTTTTCATTTTAATGATGTCTAACTTATCAATTCTTTGATTGATTGTGCTTTTGGCATTGTATCTAAAAAGTCATTGCTAAGCCCAAGGTTATCTAGATTTTCTCCTAAGGGTTGTATAGTTTTACCTTATACATTTAGATCTATAATCCACTTAGACGTTTTTTTTTTAATGATAGCATGTGCGAGAGAGAGAAAGAGACAGCAAAAGTAGCGAGGGAGAGAGAAAAGGTCCTTGATAGGATATCATTATGCTATGCTCCCCTTACCCCAGCCCTCCTGTTCCTCAAGATCTTGGGCATCTGTTCACATGCATAGTGTTTTCTTGCTGACTTGACATCGGAACCTACAGTTGGCTCTGAGGCTTCCAGCACTGCAGTCCAGCATGCTATGAATTATGCCACCACAGCTGGCAATTCTGAGTTGATTTTAATGAAGGGTGTAAGGTCTGTTTCTAGATTCTTTTTTTTTTTTCTGCCTATAGATGTCCTGTTGTTCCAGTATGATCTGTTGCCTTTTCTCCACTGTATTGTTTGTGCTCCTTTTTCAAAGGTTAGTTGACTATATTTATGTGAATGTATTCATGTGGTCTCTATTCTGTTGCATTATCTATTCTTTCACAATACCATACTGTATTGATAAATGTTGCTTACTCATAGGTGTTGAAGTTGGGTAACATTGGTCCTTCAACTTTATCCTTCTTGAATACTTTATTGGCTATTTTGGATCTTCTGCCTTTCCATCTAAACTTTAGTATCAATTTTTTTTAATCCATCATTTAACTTACCAGTATTTTTTAACTGGGATTGCATTGAATCTATAGATCAAGTTGGAAAGAATTGACATCTTGAAAATATTGAGTCTTCCTATCCATGAACATAGATTTTGTATTCTTTACAGTAAAACTTTTGAAAAGATTTATCTATACTCATTGATTCCCCTTCCTCTCTTCCCTCTTACTCCTATACTCACTTTCATCATCACAAATATAGTAAACTACTTGGCAGGTTCAATGATTTCAAGGATGCCAAATCAAATGATAATATCTCTGTCTTCGTCTTATTTATCACTGACACCTGACACATTGGATCAATGCTCTCTTGAAATACTGTCTTCATTTAGTCTCCTGGATTATATTCTTCCTTGATTGTCCTTCAAACCAGCAGGCTTTTCTATCATATCTTATGTAATGGCTCCTTCTCATTCTCCAAGTTTTAATTGTGGTGAATGCCTTAGGAATCTATTTTTGGACTTAACCACTTAAGAATCTCATCCAGTTTTATGGCTTCAAAAATCATTGATATCGGTGTTCTTACTGGCCCTGAAAATCTAACAGCATATATC